TTTGCTCTTAAGGCTTTCAACTGATTGGATGAGGCCCACCCACACAATAGAGGGTGATCTGCTTTACTCAAAGTCCACTGATTTCAGTGTTAATCACATCTACAAAACACCTTCATGGAAACATCTAGACTGGTGTTTGACCAAATGGCTGGACACCACCGCCTGGCCAAGATGACACATCAAATTAGCCATCATAGTGGATATATGCATGTTCATTGTGTTATTCTTTCTACTTCTTTTCTGCATCAAAATTTTCATTAAAAGGTAAAAAACAAACCAAGAACACTTGTTCACCAGAAATCACTATAAAGAAAGTGAAAGTCAAGCCACAAATTAGGAGACAATATCCACCATACGTATAAACAACAAGTGATTTCTACCAGGTAATACATAGAAACTTCCCCACACGTCAGCAAGGCATAGGATCCTATATAAAAATGGGCAAAAGACGTGAACAGGCACGTCACAGAGTAGGAAACAGAAATGGCCAATAAACATGTGAAAACCTGGTTTACGATCCGGGAAATGGAAATTAAAGCCATAATGGCATGCCGTTTAACACTTGCCAGAATGACAAACACTTCCCCCCCCCCCCCCCCCCAAAGCCCCAGTAGATAGTTGTATGTCGTAGCTACACATCCTTCTAGTGGCTGTATGTGGGACGCGGCCTCAGCACGGCCGGAGAAGCGGTGCGTCGGTGCGCGCCGGGATCCGAAGCTGGGCCGCCAGCAGCAGAGCGCGTGCACTTAACCGCTAAGCCATGGGGCCGGCCCTTGACAAACACTTTGAATCTGTGGGCTAGGACACGTAGCAGCCAGAACACCCATGCGCTGCTGGCCTGGTGTGTGCATGGTTTGAAACAAGCATCTGAAAAAATGTGGCGCTCTCCAGGAAGGGTGAGCGTGGACGGACGCAGCCATTCGGCAGTCCCCCCTCTAGCTGTTCCCCTGTGTCAACTTTCCAGCCTGTGAGCTGTGCACCGTTAGGGGAGATCTGGAAATCGAGTGTGTGTGTGTGTGTGTGTGTGTGTGAGAGAGACATAACAGCAGCCATAGTTCCAGATATTCTTAATTGGAGCAAATCAATACAGGCGATCACACCTGGCAAGCAGCTCCACAGCCAGTGAACCCTGGGGACATGAACACTCCGGCTCTCAGCCATAAGTGAGTCTGCAGGGACCCTGCCCCCTCGTCCATGCCCGGGACACTGTGCTGATGGCATCTGGGGAGGAGGATGCGGGAGGTTGCTCTGGTAAAAACGATGCGTGGCGGAGAGTGGGAAGCAGTGTGGGAACCCTGTGAAAAGACAGGCTGGTGCTCTCTCAGCGAGGTTCCCTCTGGGGTACAGTGCGCTCAGGCGTGTCCTCTCCGTGGTGAAGGATAAGGGCACAAGACTTTTTGGAGGAAGCATAGGCCACATTTGGTGTCCGCCTCTCTGCTTCTACCTACAGCCAGGTGGCCCAAGGGGATGCCAGCTGTGAGCGGATGCAGAGCAAGTGAAGGTGACCAGGCGGTCCTGGCTTTGCTGCAGGCAGGCCACACCACTTGGTCGTTGTGACCTGGGGACCCCACAGTCCTGGCTGTCTTGGCAGATTGGGTGCCCACGGATCCCTGGGAAGCCGTGGTGGAGCCCTGAGCATGGGGCACGGCCATGCCCTCTCTGGCCAGGACCTCTTCTGCCTTCGGGACTCAGCATTCCGCTTCCCTCGGGTCCAGGTAGGGACTGACCCTTGTCCATGGGGCATCAAGGTGACCGAACTGTCCATCCTGCAGTCATTTGTCTGCTGGGTCATGTACCTGGCCAAGCCTGGCAGCTCCCCATACCCTGGTGAGATTGGGTGTCTGGACTCTTGCAAGGTTCTTAGAACCCTGTGGCAGACAGGAAGCTTCTTGCCCGACCGTCCCCATGCTGCCCGGTGGCCTCCTGTGCAACGCAGACATGGTGGGTAGGAAGGGGAGCCGCCCGCGGGCCCAGCTGCCGAGGCTCACCGGTTACCACTCCGGCCCAGAGCCTGGTTGCAAGTTCATTGACTTTGGACCCCATGTTAGTCAGTGTTCTCCAGAGAAACAGAACCAGTAGGATGTATATCTCTATATCTATTTATATACGTATCCATCCATCTGTCCATCCATCCGTTTGTCTATCATCTATCATTTACCTACCTACCTATCTATCTATAAAAGGAGATTTGTTATGAGGAATTGGCTCATGTGATTATGGAGCCTGCGGAGTCCCACGATCTGCTGTCTGCAGGCTGGAGACCCAGGAGAGCCGGTGGTGTGATTCAGTCCCAGTCCGAAGGTCTGAGAACCAGGGGAGCAGGTGGCGTAAATCGCAGTCTGAGGGCCAGAGAAGACGAGCCGTCATGTCGCAGCGCAAGGGGTGAGGCAGGAAAAGGAGTGAATTCCTCCTTCCTCTGCCTTTGTTCCGTTCGGGCCCTCAGGGGACTGGATGAGGCCCACTCACACTGGGGAGGGCTGTCTGCTTTCCTGAATCCACCAGTTCAAATGCTCATCTCCCCCGGAAACATGCTCCCAGACACCCCCAGTCACGCCGACACACAGCACTAACCACTGCCATCCCCTTCCTTCACGGAGAGGGTAGGATTTCTCCCAGCGCACTGCACCCTTAGTCTGGATTGGGTTTGCTTCCCTGCCTGTCATACTTGTGCCAGCACAGCACTTTCTTAGACAAAGCCTGATTTACTGTGTGGTTCCCCATCGTTTCGGGCCGAGATGCCCGTGGGATTCACGAGGGTTACCACCTATCCTGTTACTCAAAAGGAGGCAGCCCTGTGGGGTGGTGGACTGGCCTTCTTAGGCATCATTAGGACCACAGCTAGGGGACAACGCTGCGAGACTGTAGCGGTGTCCCACAGGATATGGCACCAGCAGCTAGTCAGCGGGGCCATTTCCCCCAAATCAGGGCGCACAGGGGTGGGCGTGGGGCCACACGTCTTGTGATTAGAGCCAACGAGCCATTCACAGAAGCTTACCTCTTGGCCCCGCTGGTCCTTACTCTCCTGGTTTGGAGAATTTAGTAACCAACAAAGGAATTCTTTGCCCGGAGAACAAAATAATGGTGACCTTGAGCTGGGAGCTGTGGGCACCACCTGGCCCATTTGGGCCTCCTCTGCCACTGGGTTAAGGGCCATAAAGGGGACCATGGTGATGGCTGGGGTGATCCTCTCAGGAGGAAATGGGGTGCTCTACTCAAAGTGGGTCGGGCAGGTTAGGAGTCCCTAAGGTCTTCCTCATCCTGCCACATCTGGTGATGACAGTTGGTGGAAGACCATGGCCAGAAGAATGAAGATCTTCATCCCTCAGCTCCCTCCGAAATGAAGAGTGGGGTCACCCTGCCAGGAAAAGCCTCGGGCCACCTGGGCGCAGACAGGATGGTTGTGGAGGAGGCCAGCTGTGACCACAGTCATGGCCTGGTGGCCAGCTGCAGAAAAGAGCAGTCTATAGCTTCCGGCAAAGTTTCTTTTCTTGCTGTGTCATATAAAGTTTTATTAAATCTCCTTTTCCTTCCTCTCTCTTGCTGCCATTGTTGTGCATAGGACATATTGCTGGTTCTTTGTTTGAAATTTATTTCATACGTTGTAGAATAGTGAGATGACAAGAACAGACCCAGAGGAGGAACGCATGTCACCGGAGACCCTGGATTGTTCCCGAATGCAGGAGCCATGGGACGCTGGGGTATCTTCCTTTAGGGACAAGGATTTCAGTGGGAGGAGTGCTATTTGCTCAATATTAGGTGGGAACATCCTGGTTTTGGGAAGCACGAGTGTGGGGAGAAGTTTGTGTGTGATTGAAAACACAGGGCTGGCTTGTAGTGGGTTTGTCACTTTGTGACTTTTTTGGCTGTCTATCACAGAATGGGTCTTCTTATTTTGGAGGACACCCCCTCTGTTGGTCTTGGTAGGGGCAGGCCCGGCCTCCCTCTGTGAAAATAAAAGGGCCCCGACATTCCCTTCTCCTTTGTCAGCTCTGTTGGGGCCCTGGCCTCCGCTCAATTTGTTTGTTCCACCCAGGACTTTTGATTTTGAGCAAAGCATGCAAACCCTCGGAGACAGTTAGAAAGAATTCATTGGAGAGGTGGTTTCGATGTCCAGTGGGAGTGGCTGTGGCAGGCAGAATTTCTAACATGCCCCTCCCCCCAATGTCCTGCCTTAGTGCCTTGATCTTGTGAACACAGGATCACTGGGAATGTGGCAGGATTTCCCCGTAAGATGGGGAGTCACCTGGGTGGACCTCATCTAGCCACACGAGCCTTTGAAAGCAGAGCGCTTTCTCTAGCCTGGAGGAGAGGGGAAGTCAAAGAAATTCCCAGCACAAGAGAGAAGAACTCGACAAGCCACTGCTGACTTAGAGACGGAGGAAGTGAATTCTGCTGACAGCCTGACGGATCCTGGAATTGGATCCTTCCCAGAAGCTGCAGGGGGAGCCCAGCCTGGCCCACCCTGCATCTGACCTTGTGAGACCATAAGCAGAGAGTCCAGTCAGGCCTGCCCTCTGGCTTCTCTATTCTGACTCACTTCCCAGCCTGTCCCACGGCATCTGTGAGTGACCCCTGATTCCTCCGTCTGCTTAAACAGGGCCTGCTTATCGGGTCTTTTCCTCCTTCCCCATCCCACCACGGTGTGGAGGAAACAGCTCACATCCTCCTCACAGGAACCACATGGGCCCAGGCCAGAGTGTCTTCATCTCTGTGGGCAGACGGGTGACAGGACGGCAACTGAAACAGTGTCAGTTGTCCTGGAGCAGCCGGGGGCTGTCTGAGGGTCCGTGTGGGCCCAGATGGCCATCAAGAGCATCTGCTTCAGGCGGGTGTTGAAGTGCAGGCCCCCACCGGGAGCATCTGATGAAGCCGGGCCCCTGGGACCGGCAGCCGTGGGCTCTGAGAAGCAGAGGATACAGTGAGGCTGTTCTAGAATGCGGAGGGGCTGGCAGGATGCCTGGGCAGGGAGGGGTCCAGATGGCCAGGGCCGAAGGACTGGGTGGGGCGAGTAGAGGAGATGGCAGGTGGGAACGTCTGCAAGCGCCGAGGGTCAGGAGGGGCCTCTTGGCTGCTGGGTCTGGGTCTTCCCTGCTCCCTGTGCATGGGAAGCCCTGGGGTTCCCCAAGATCAGAGGTCCTGGCTTGGGGCTGTAGTTTGGGGGCCCCAGAAGCATCCGTCTCTCGGCATTAGCGGAGATGGCACTTGTGAGGCCAGGCCTTGGCAGGGATTGGGGGTGAGCAGAGGGGGTCCCTGTGCAGGCTGTAGAACGGAATGCATGCTGGCCTGGCAACTTTCCAACTGCCCCCCTCCCTCAGTGACCAGCCACCCCCAAAGCGCCTCTCCTGGAGTATCAGCCTCGGCCCTTGGTCCAGGGGTCCCATAAGGCTGGGCGGAGGCAAAGACATCTCGGGAGTGGGAAGTGGCATCCGCTCTCTGGCCAGGGAGTCAGCTTGAGTGCCGGCCCCCCTCCATCTGCAGGGCTGTGGGACCCCCTCGGGGAGGTGGTAGAGGGGCGGGCGGGGGCCTACCGTGGGTTCAGGGTGTATCTGCCTTTGTGGTCCAAGCTGCGGCCAGAGCGGATGGCGAACCAGAGAAAGGAGCTGAGCAGCATCGCGTACACCTGGGAGGGAGGCACTGTCTGCACCTGCACCAGTAGCTCCGGGCCGGCCGGGGCTCACGGCCTCCCCAGGAAGTTATGGGCTCTGCAGTGTTCCCTGCTCTAGGGAAGGGCGTGAGGCAGCGGCCTGCTCCTCCCTGGCTCCCTGGGCATGGGGAGCCCTGGTGCTCCCAAGACCAGAGTTCTGGCTTGGGGCTGCCCACCCCTTTCGTCTGGGGTGGGGACAGGCAGGTGAAGGGGCAAGGAGGTGGGGAAGGGGCAATGAGGGAGGGCGAGTGGGTACCATGGAGGCGAGGCCAATGCTGGTCAGGGTGAAGATGATGTTTCGGTGAGTGCTCAGGAAGCGCCCGATGCCCTGCAGGCAGTCCTGGAAAGAGGGCAACGCACATGGCATCACCCTGACCGCCCTCCCTGCCCAGGGCAAGGGGCCTCTGCCGAGGCATGGAGCTGCAGCACCTGCCTAGGCCAAATGCTAGGGCAATGGGAAGTCGGGGTGCAGCACAACCCAGGGACAACCAACCCAGAGCTCTGGGAGAGGCGCCGCAAACAGGCAAAAACAAGCAGGATGGAGCTGGCCCCTGTGGGACCGAGGGGACGCTGCCGAGGGGCCCAGCGGTGCCTTCCTCTGGGCGTCTCTGAGCTGCCTGTGTCGGGTCAAGTGTCTGGCTCTGCGGGCAGGCAGAGTCTTAGTCACTCTGGGGCCCCAGCACCCAGCCCAGAGCTGCGCCCAGCACCTGGGTGAGGAGAGGGTGCTGGTTAATGGGGATGTCAGAGGACCAGCAGTGGAGGGGCCGGGGTTCCGGGCTGTCCCAGGGTCCTGGCTCCATCCCGGGCTTCCAATGCCTCGCCAGGGCATGGCGTCCCCAGAGCCTCTCTCTCCAGAAAAAGAGAGGTGACAGTGCCTCTCTGAACCACCCAGATGGTGGCATTTGGTTTTGGGGAAGGACCTTGGCATTTTGGGGCACGCTGGGGGAAAGAAGCACTGCAGGACCTGCAGGGTATGGTTCTGAAGGCCAGGATGGGGACAGAGAGGAGGCTGGAGTGGCGTCTGTCTGTCCATCTGTCCACAAGTTCACTTGACAGAGTCTCGGCCCTCCGGCCTCCCCACTGGACCTCTAACCCTGGCTGGAGTCCAGCCCCTGCTCTCACCGAGATGGGGACCAACTTCGGCGGCCCTGGAGGTTGGGACCGCTGGCTCCTGGGGCAGCTGGCACTCAGCCTTGTCCCAGCTAGGAAACAGCCCCAAACGGCCCCAGGAGCCCTGGGCACACCCCTGCAGCCTGGCCTGGGTGCCCCGTGGGAAAATGGACCATAATCAGCCCCTACTTCCCCACCCCGCTGCCAGCCACGTGGTCACACTTCCTCTTGGAAGGCAGCCTGAGGGCAGACCACCACCCAGGACACCATCCCTGCCCCTCCCATCCCATCCCCCAGGCGGCTCCAAAGACCGCCCACCCTCCTGTGCTGGCCCCCGTGTCCCCACCCAGGAGGCCTTTACAGTCGGTCCCCATGTTCCCGCCATTCCGGAGGGTGCATGAAGCAGGCCCTCATCCTCACTCTACAGATCAGATGGGAGACTTGAGGCTTCTCCCTGGGTGGCATAAACAGGCCTCCTCGACTCACAGCCCCCTTCCCAGGCATGCTGGGCCTTCCTTTGCCCTCCCCATCCCCAGCACCGCCCCTCTGGGCTGAGTTGGCTCCATCCCTCACTGGGCTGAGGGCCATTTGCATCCTCCTGTCTGTTTCTTGGAGGGCAGCCAGGAGCCTCTTGCCCAGAGATAGGGGTGGGTTTGTTTCCCGGACAGTGGGGGAGGGGAGCTGGGGAGACGGGTGGGGGAGGGGGGAAGCAGGAGGGAGGGGGCCCGGCCCTCTCCAGGCCTCAGGGAGGAAGGGGCTTCCCTGCCTTGTCTCTGTCACTGAAGCCCGGGGAGGCCAGACTTGGGCTCAGGGTGACGCTCCCTCTGTGGAATGCCCTTCTGGCTCCTTCAGGGGCCCTCGGGACGCCTGCCTCCCCGCGGGAAGAGCTGACCACCCCTGCTCTCTGGGCCCTTGGCATTGCTCATCCCCGTTTATCTCCCACCCACCCCCTGTGCTTCTGGAGGCTTCCGAGGGTGGGAACTCAGTGCCTGGCACTGCGTCTGGCCTTGGGGAGCCCCCAGGCTGGGAGCAGTGTGAAGGAGTGAGGAAGTGAATGGAGAATGGGGCCCGCGTCCAGCCTGGAGAAGGACCCGGGCCTGTGGCTCACCCAGCCCAGCCCAGCCCCTCTCACTGTGGCCGCCAATCCCCGAGCCCTGAGTGGGCAGGTCCCCGGGGTCTGGGGGAGGCCAAGGGGTGGGAGACATCCCTGGTCTGGGGCTGAACCCCTGGTTGCGGCTGCCCCTCCCACTCACCTGTCTCGCAGCCTCCGCTCCCCGACACAGGTCAGCCTCCGAGCTCCCCAGGAGACTGAAAGGAGAGCCCTTTCCACAGCACAGGAACTGCAAGGACAGAAGGGAAGGAGGCGGTTTGCTCTCAGAGCCCCCGGGGCCCTGTCAGACAAAGGGGGAAACTGAGGCACAAAGAGGCCAAATGACTAGGCAGGGTCCAGCAAAGCTCGGGCCCCCCGGGAGGCCAGGACTGGGGCTCAGGGTGATGTGGCTGCCTCTGTGAGGGCACCAGGCGCTGGGCGATACCCTCACCCACAGGTCCTCGCCAAAGCCGCCTGCCTGCCTGGCCGATTGCTCACCTGCCAGGGCCAGGGCCAGCCTCATGGGTGCGACCCTTGCAGTCACAGGGGCCCTGCTTACTGCTGTGCCATCACCGTCTTGTGATTTTGAGTCATTTTTGGACAAGGGTCCCTTCATTTTGCTCTGGGCCCCGCAATTTTGGTAGCCGGCCCTGTCCAGGGTAGAGGGAGGCGGGCAGGAGCTCCTTGTGCCCCCCCGACACTCCACCTCGGGGGCATCCACATACTAAGACCCCTGCTCAGCCCCTGGCCCAGGCCGCCTGACTCTGCAGGGCCGCCCTGCGCCCATTTTCTGGCTCTCAGTCCACAGAGGGAGGCTGACCAGCTCAGAGCTGCCCAGTGAGGGGGAGGCCTCCCCCATCACACTCACCATGTCCTGGATGGCCACCAGCTCCTGCCGCCAGACGCCGGACGAGCTCTTCACTGCATGGTCATACACCAGATCGTAGGTGTCCAGCACGGCATCCTCCACCTGCACCCAGAACATCGTGGGAAGCTCCCTCCCTCTGACAGAGCTGCCTGAAGGAAGCGCCTGGCCCCTGTGTGCTGGGTGATGTGCAAATGCCCTCCTCCACCCCCCTGAGGGCAGAGCCTAAGTCCCCTGGGTGGGTGAGTCACAGGAGTTCCCCAGATTCCAATTGTGGGAACCTCCCCCCAAAAATGGCTATTAATGTTACATTCCTGCTCCCGAGGGGTCCTGTGGGATAAGTCGGAGACCTGAGCTCTGATGCCCACCCCAGCTATGGTCTTGTGGATGTGGGGGTCCAGCCGAAGGAAGTGTCCTCCCTGCTCCTGTTGATCTGGAAACTGGCAGAGGGGCAGGGAAAGACCACAGCTGGGCCTGGGCGAAGGCTGGGAGAGGCGTCATGCCAGTTCAGTTCCCCAGTGATGCTCCAGTCTTTCCCCAGAACCACCCAAGTATGTTCCAGAACCCCCAGGCAGCTGGGCTCCAGGCAAGGATTTTGGCCAGGGAAGTGGGGGGCATCCAGGGCCAGCTCTGAGTGAACAAGGCCCCTTGGGGGCAGACAACGGAGAAGGAGGGTAGCAACAGGGGCCTGGCTGGGCTCTGCCTTCCCTCCACACCCCCACATCACCCAGACCTCGTTGCCACTGCCCTCCTCAGCACCCCTTTCTGTGCCTTTGTTCATGCTGCCACCCCCCCTGAAGCCGAAATGGCCTCCCCTTCCCAAGTTATCCCTTCAAAGACAAACTGGATTCTTGCCTCTTCCAGGAAGGCTTCCCTGACTGCTCTGGGGCCTCTGGTCTACTGGCACAGGCAAGGCCTCTTTGAGCTCCCCTGCCCTCTGATGCCTCCTTTCCCTCCTCAGAGACCCTGAGCTCTCCCTCCCCTCCCTTCCCACTCCCATACTATGCTGATATGTGGGACATGCTGACAGGTGCTCAGGGGGGCCTCAAAGGGCTGAGGGTCAACAGCTTGGAGGACCTGGGTGCAGGCTGTTGGCGGGCAGTGGGGGCATTCCCAGCCAGCCCTGTCCAAAGCCCCTGCGCCCCAATAGGAAGCAGATGGACTTGTGTCCAAATGGCTCCTGGCACTGAATGACCCTCCCCGTGGAGACACTGCTTTGCAAGTCATCCCCAACTCAGCCAGCTGGCTTCCTCCCCACCGTTGGGAGGCAGGCAGTGCCTTGGGCCAGGGGCAGGCGCCAGGCTAGCCACCACTGCTGGAGGGCCTGGCTAGGGGCCCTCTCTCTGCCTCAGTTTCCTCAAGTGAAATAGGGGTAGAGACCTGCCAGGCCACTATGTCTTCATGGGAGGAGGTCCTGGTGAGGGCTGGGGGCCTGGTGGAGCTGGCCTGGGGTCGGGGGGCAGATGGCTGTGACAAGGAGCCCAGCTTGGACCACCCCTCCTGGTTCCATCCCTTGACCATTTCAACTCCTCCCCTCCCCACTATGGCTGAGGGAGGACCCGGGTCCCTCCACGGCAAGCTGTCATTATTGTAATATTGGCAGGAGAAACAACACCTGCTGGTGGCAGAGCGGCGAGCATCTCTCCCCATGAGCCCCTCCTTCAGATGAAGAAGCAGACCCGGCAAAGCCACGTCCCCTGCCCGAGACCCCCAGGCCTGGTGGTGGGGGCCAGGCTGGACTTGCCCGGCAGTCCTGGGTGTCTAGGTGGTGTGCCACCGTCCACCTCTCATTGCTGGGTTCAGGGGGCGCTGGAGGAGCCAGAGAAAATGGGGGTCTCAGATGCCACCGGGCACTGACATTGGGGTGCTCCCTGCCAGGGTGCCTTATTCCTTAAGCCCCATCGTCAGAGCTCCAGGGGTGCCCTGTCAGGACTGGGGTTTCTGGGCTGCTGAACACTCGCTCCCCAGACAGCACATCTCAGATACCCACACGAACCAGGTGCCCGGGGAGTCCCCACCACACCAGCCCCCCACAACCGGCGCCCCCCCTCCCCCGCCTCCCACCATCTGCCTGGGCTTGGTGACTCTCTGGGCTGTGCCCCCACTCCTGCAGTCTGCTAAACCTGCCCGGGTGGGGACGCTCCCAGGGTGGCCTCTGGGGAGCTGCAGGTGGTCTGCAGACTGGCCCCATGGGCCAGAGGCTGGGTCTGTCCTGAGCCCACACGGTGGCCAGACAATCAGGGAGGAGAGTGGCCTCAGGAGGGGGGGCCCTGACCGCGGGGAGCTGTGAGGACAAGGGGCCTTTTGACGCCTCTCCTTGCACTGCTGTACTTAATCCGCACATGAATTATTAAGTGGAGCAGGCAATTCATTTCCGTGTGCAGGCCCTTCTGGGGACAGGGGGAGTTGTGCAGAGTCGCTCTCAGGCTGCGGCGGGAGCGTAATTAATAGCCCTTGTGCTCTGTATTCATCGCACGGCCACTCGTCCCCACATCGCCGGCCTTGCCAGCTTCTGGGCGCCTGCCAGGGAGCCAGCGTCCCAGAGGAGCGGCTGTTGGAAAATCCCGTGAGTGGCGAGGGCAGTAAGGGGGGGCACTCACCCCACCAGGGTCTGTGGCTTGGCTTCTGAGCCACGGAAGAGGTGGCCGGTCCCTGTCCTCCTCCACCCTCAGCTTCCCATCTGTGGGGTCCCCCAGACAAGCCGTCTTGACCTTGTGTTTCAGGTTATCTTAGGGGTTCCCTCGGGGGAGGTGCAGGAGGGGATACAGGGTGAACGGGCCTGGCTGGGCACCAGGCTCCAGACGCCCTGGAGCAAACAGCTTGGCCCTTTGGCCTTCTCTGCTCACTGGGCCGCAGCAGGGCCTTGTGTGTCAACGGCGCCGGGGCTGGGACCTGTTTGGCCTGGGTTCCAGGGTTGGGGGCACAGGCTGGGCGGCTCGGCCTGCCCCTGCTGCTCGGTGCCCTGGCCCTGGCACCAAATACCGCCTCGTGCAAGCCCAGGACGGTTCCACACTAGTCCCACGCCCTGGAGGACTGATGGGCTCAGGATGTGTTGGGTCCCACTAGGCCCTTCACACGCACTGGTTCCCTCCTGCCATGAGCAGCCCCCTCGGCGGGGTCTCCATGCTCCTCTTACAGATGAAGAAAGAGGCCCAGGAGAGTTAGCTGATTACCCAAGGGTGCTGGGCTGAGAGGCTGACCCTACTTTGAAGCCAGAGCTCCTTCTGCAGGCCGCTCCCGTGCCCACGTGGGCCTGGACACGCACACGGACAACACAGGAGGGTGGATGGAGCCCACCTGACTGCGGGCCTGGGAGGAAGCCCCAGCCCCCACCTGGGGTCAGGCAGGACCCCGAGAACTGACCCCCAGGGGCCAGCTGGAGTGAGGACCAGACCAGGACGATTTCTGTGGGGGATGTGGTTGGGGTTGGGACAGAGAAGAGGCCCAGCTGGGAGCCATCTGGCTTTTCGCCCCCACGCTTTCCCAGAGCAGGAGTCCCAGCTGGATGGTGGCCTGTGGCCCCTGCACGGCCCCTCCCCTCCAGAACCTTGGATCCTGGGCTCAGAGCTGTAAACACAGTGTCAGAGAAGAGAGGATGGGCTGCAGATACCCCCAGAAGAGCTGGACGGGGCCCCAGGGCACCCTGGCAGCTGTCTTGACTGGGACCACCCATGCTGTGACCCAGGCCTCAAATGGGCCAACGGATGGGTAATGTGAGGCCGAATTGCCAGCCTAGCCTGGCTTTCCCTGGGCCAGACTGCTGCCAGCCCCACCGAGTGGAAGCCGCCTTTCAGGGGCTCCGACCCCATCCAAAAGCCAGAGGAAATGTCCTTTTTCTGATCCCGTCACAGGTGGGTGACCCCAAATGATGCTAGGGTGGTGGTGGGTGGTTTGGGGTGACCCTTGGGCAGGGAAGGGAAAAGAAGAATTGACTCAGGACAAAGAGCCCTGGATGGTGAGCTGGACCCCTCCTGCCCTGGCTCTGCCTCGTGTCTCCCCACCCCCTTGGGCCTGGCTTCCATCCACAGACTAGGGGTAAGGAAGGCAGGGACCAGAGGGGGTGATCACACACCTTAAAGCACACAGCATGAGCTTGGCCTGGGGGAACCAGGCCCAGCCTCCTGACTCAGCCGCTCTCTGCGAGCCTCTGCACCTTACATGACCATCTTGGGGGGCCCAGGCAACATGGAGGCTGAAGCCACTGGGACTCCTGATACACAGGCAAGAAATCATCTCTTGTCATGTGCTGCTTGCGTGGGGTTTTGCCCAGAAACCCAATACGCTCCAGCCAGAGCCGCCTTGGTTTCCCTGGGCTGGTCTTTATAGAGCATATGGAGAAACTGAGGCCCAGTAAGAGGAGAAGGGATTGCTCATGGTCACAGAAAGCCAGGACAGACAGGGCTTGTGGAGTGGGCTCTCCTGTCCGTCTCTGCAGCGCCCCCTGCTGGCCCCTGCCTTGGGGGTCTCGCTTGGAGCTGGGCTGTCATAGGTGAAAGCTGGGCCCGAGTTCGGCCGCCAGGGTCTTGTCACTGCTAGGGACCTGGGGTGGCCTGCCCCTTGCCCCTTCTCCCAGCTGTGGCCTCTCCGCCAGCCAGCAGCTGGACTGCAGGGCTGGGTGGTGCGGCTGGGAGTGGGCCTGAGGCCTGGGACAAGCGCTGGGAAGCAGACATGCTCCCCCGGGGGCCAAGAGCCCCTTTGGGAAGGGCACCCTGCATCCTGGTGGTGTGTCCACGGCCGCCCCACCCGCTTGGGGACTGCCCTGTAGCCTCACAGCTCAGCGAGGGAGAGAAGCCTAACCTGGTGGTGAGGCGGGGGTGCCCTCTGGGCAGAGGGGCTGAGGGAGGGTGTTGGTGCTGGCTAGCAGTGGTGACTATAGCCACCATCGTCCCCTCCTCTGCCAACCGTGAACCCTCCTGGCCCCCGCCAACCCCCAGCCCCAGCCTGGGCTGCTCTACTCCGAACAAAGGGTCCAGACTGGCCTGGGGCTGGGGGCTGGCCCCCACACGTGAGCCCCTCAGGACCCACTGCCCCCCTCTCTGAGCCTCTTGGGCATCCAGTTCCTCTGCCTGGATGGAGTGGCCTGGCCTTGACCCCCAGCCGTGGTCTGGGAAGAGGTCGGCTCCACACATGCACTTGCCAGCCCCATTTCCCACGAGGCTCTCAGCTTCGTCCCTGAGTCCAGACAGAATCTCTGGAGGGCCACCTCCCCGCAAGCTCTGGTCCTGCCCTGCTCCTTGCGGGCAGTGCCCTTCATAGACCCATGGCCTGCAGGCTTCGACCCTGCTCACGTGTGTTCTCTGGGGGCTGCGGCCGATGTGACCCCAATATCCCGGAGCTGAGGCCCCCCTCCCTCCCTTAGAGACAGGACAGGAGCCCTCTCCCAGCCCCGAGCCTCCCAGGATGCCCTGCTGAAACAGCAGGCACCCGCAGAAGGCTAGCCGAATGGTGGATGGATGGACAGAGGGAGGAACAAACGAGCCACCTCCTGTGGGGACCCACCCCAACATTACCCTGGGCATCATCACCCTGGTCACCACCACCACGGAGTCCCTGGGGAAGAGCCCACATTGAAGACGGAGCCAGCAGGTAATCTTGCCACCTCTTCCCACCTGGGTCACCTGGGCTGCCCCAAGCTGCGGGCAGGTCAGTGTCCAGGACTGAAGGACCACTGTCATCCTGTGAATGAGTCCTGGACGCCCTGTCCACTTTGTCCTGCAGCCAACCCTCACCCGCACAAGGCGTCTCTCCCTGCCCCTCCGGCCCCCATCAGGACAGCAGACCCCTTAGCGCATTTTCTGGAACATGGACCCCTGCTAATCAGTCCCTCACTAGTGGGGGGCCCTCTCTCCTCCTGCTCCTCGGCCCCCTTCCCCAGCTCCCTGGGCGTCACATTCAGGCCCAGGGCGGGAGGGGTTGAGGGGCCTTAGTGAGAGGGGTCTGAGGCCTGTGCCTGCCTCCCCTCTTTCCTCGGGGAGCTGCTGCCCCCAGGCCAGGAAAGGAGCAGCCCTGTGGTCCCTGTGCCCCCACCCCACCCCCAGGCAGAGGATGTCCCCACAGTGTTCCCCCGCACCTGCCATGTCTCTCCCCTAGTGAGGCGGGCAGGCGGGAGGGAGCATGGAACCGTAGCTCTGCTGAGGGGTGGGGACGGGGCTGGGCGCTCACCTGGGCGGGGTTTCGGAGTCTCCAGAAGGCCACCTGCACCAGGGCGCAGAACACCAGAGCAAAGCACAGGAAGCCCTGGGCAGAGGAGGGACGGGTCACTCCATGCAGCTGTGCATGGCCTGGCGGGCTCCCTCTGGGCCAGGGGGCTCACTGAGGGGTGTGTCTGAGCCCAGCTCCTCACTGCCCAAAGGGGAGGCCTTGGGCACTGGGGAGACCTTGGGCGGTGGGCATACTGGTTCCCATCCCTTCTTCTGGCTCTTTTGGGGAATTCTTCCCCTACTGCTGGTTTTGGCTCCCGAGGGCCTGTCCATGGCAGTGCCACATCCCCTGACCCAGGGGGAGGCAATCCTGGGATGATGGAGACCCCTGTCCACTGTGGCTGCTTCCGGGAGGGGCACTGACCCCGGAAAGACCCGGCAGAGCCTTTCCTGAGCCGGAGACTCGGACCTGGGAGAAGAAAGTGCCCTTTTTAGGTGATCCGGGCAGGGGGAATGGCTCTGGGGCTGTGGCGGCCCTCGTGCGGGGAAGGCCATCTGCAGGTTCCAGCAGGGACAGCTGGTTTGGGGCCAGGTGGAACACCTGGTGTGACACCAGGTGGTGTGACTCCCCCAGGGAAGCTCCCTGCTGAGTCCTGTGGCCCATCCAACCCCTGCCCCTCACTCTTACTACCCCCTGGACCCTAGAGTTGGAGGAGACGAGAGTTCTCTGGAGGGAACGTCTTCCATCCCCGGCACCCCACTGGGGTGTCCTTCTCTCAGTCAGGGGGTCTGAACTGCTGAGGTCCCCCGGCAGAAGCTGATGAACATCATGGGCCCCTCAGCTGGGAACTGCACACACGCCCCAGTGCTCTTTTGATAGCACTCTCAGAGGGTCACCCCAGCCTAAGAACCCTGGGGATGTCACCCCTGCCCATAGTTCCACTCGCCACCTTCATGCTGGTGACCCTCGGATCTGGGTCTCTGGCCAAGGCTCCTCTTGGAGCTCTGGACCGTCAATCTGGCCGCTGACCACACAACCCAGGTGTCCGGAGGCCTGATGTAACTGTCTGCACCACCCCCTCCCCACTGCTGCCCCATGCTGGGTGGGGCGGGCATGGCCGACACTTCACCCCCACCCCTGGACTGTCTGCACCCTGGGGCAGGCGGTGGCTGGGCTATCCAAACCCAGTGCCTTGTTCAGGGTGACACCCAGGAGAGCTGATGACCAACGGAATGGAGAGATGCAGACAGACACACAGACACTGGCCTGGCTAGGCAGGGACGAAGAAACGGTCCACACCAGGGGTGGCCCACTGGCCTCCAGGAAAGAGCGGGCCACCCCCACCAGCCCCCAAACTCAGGTGCGGGCACAGGGGCCTCTGGCTGTGCTGGGGCTGGCAGCCCTCCAGGCTTCTCCTCGTGATGTTCCCTCCTGCCTGCCCGGGAGTCCCCAAGGCCTGTCTCAGGATGACCTTAGCGATGCCTCTTCCTCCCTCTCCCTCCTTTCTACTTCCTCTCCCTCCTCCTCCTTCCCCCTCCTCCTCCTCCCTGGCTGGCTGCGGGCCGCCTTCCCCATCTGGAAGCCATCGCTCAACTCTGCCTCCCAGGCTGGAGGCCCTGAGCCAGCTCAAGGGACCAGCATTTTCCAGAAACCATTTCGTGCCTTAGGAGAGAGCATCAACTCCCTGTCTCCCATCCCGCTACCTGGCCCACCCCGAAGAGAGGGCTTCTGGCAGCCGATGGGCCCCTCAGTCCCTCAATGCCTCCACAGTGCCGAGGCTGCTGGGTTTCTTGCTCCTCATTCTAAATTCAAATACGTAAATAAGTCGAACCGGCTTCCCTCTGCCACTGCTGCCAGCTCTGTTCTCTGTTCTCAGCCGGGCAAGGCAAGCGCGTTGGTTCATTTCCTGTGCGAGAGGCCGGTTTGGGGAGAGGCCGGAGGAGGTAGGGGCAGGAAGGGAGGAGCAGCCAGGCGCCTGTCATGTTGGGAAAGGTCTCCTTGCTCCCTGGCTCCTTCACATGTGCTCACACACGCAGACACACATGCAGACACAGGATGCAACACACACACATGCACACACACACAGCTCAAGGGAGCAGCATCTCCAGAGCAGGTCTCCCAGCACCCCTCGGGGGCCACGCTGGGCTCACCATCAAGGCTGGGGGCTGAGGGCGGGGTTGGGGTGCAGCAGGCATCCAGCCACAGGGCTCCTAGGCCCTTCTCACAGCCTGCCCTGCATAACAGGCCTCCTGGCCCTGGAGTCGGCTGGGGAAGCAGAATTGAGACCCCAGGTGCCCCCTGCCCCCTGCCCACAGCTCAGAGCTGGAGAAGGCCCTGGTGACCGGCTGGGCCAAGAAGAACTGGACGGAGCTGGGGGGACAGAGCGTGGGAGCCTTGGGAACAGGAGCCTGTGGCTGAGGCATCTCCCAGCAGTAAGCCAAGCTCCATGGCGCCCCCTGGCGGCCAACCCCACAGCCCCACACTGGCCTCTCCAAGCCACCCTCGCCTGGCCCGCCAGGCCTGGCCCTGTCAGCACCTTGTCCTCCAGCCATGCACCACTCTAGCAAGGCCCACGCCTTAGGGCTCCCCTCTCGGGACAGTCCACCTGCCTGGTCAGCTCCTGCTGGGGCCTCCCCTCCTTCCCCTCCCCGGCCCCGTGGGTACCCAGCTGCAGCCAGATTGCACAGGGTGGAGCCGTGACCTCCAACAACGCCAGCACTGCCCTGCCCACGCGCCTGTGGGTCCTGCTTAGGGCTGGAGCCACCTGATCCCGCTGTGCTCCCCGAGCCCGCCCAGGGCTGGCCGGCCCAGGGCTGCAGCTCCAGGAGGTGACTCTGTCCCTGCCCTTGGAGACATTTACAAACCAGGAGTCGTTCAACAAACGTTTGCTGACACAGGCTGGTCCTCAGATAGCCAGGGTGGTCGGCCTCTGGGCCACCCGGAGAAGCAGAGCCCCAGCGTGAGCTCACAGGGGTCGCTGGCCCACGAACCACTCACAGGGCAGGGGTGGGGTTTGCAGGGGCAGAGGGCTGGAGGCACGACAGTGGGGTCCTCCTGGCTGGAAGGGAGGGAGGGAGGCTGGAGGGACCCGTGGAGCTCCAGGGAGGCTGGACTGCATCCCGAACACTGCAGGGAGTCCGCGAAGGCTCCGGGCAGGGAGGGCACATGCCAGGAGGAGGCTGGGGTGCCTGTGAGAGGCCAGTTCAGGTCAGAGAGGGGGGGCTCGAGCCCAGAGGGGCAGGCGGGGCTGGCAGGTAGGGACCAAGATGGGGCCCGGGAAGAGCAGGTACGGGGGCAACAGAGGCCCCGCTGTGGGGTGAGGTGGGACCCGTGGGGCCTGTGGGACCTTGGGGGGCGGTGGAGACACCCCCACCCTGGTAGCTGCAATAGCGGATGTGAGCTCAGGAGGAGCCCGGGCTGCAGGCCACCTTGGGGGCAGCTGCGAGGCCCAGACCTACAGGCGATGGGGCCGGCAGAGGGGCTTTCTCTGCCTCCCCAGGTCTCTTGGTAACAGGAAATGGAATTCACCCGAACCCTGTTCAGAGCCTCCAGTATAACAGAACCAGACCCTCTCTGGGCCTTTGGGAAGGGCTCCCAGGCCTGGGAGGGCTAGCTCTGATGGGGTGAAGTAGGGCTTGGTGGGGTGTCCTGGCTGGCCTGGGTGGAGGGGTCCTGACTAGCCCAGGTGGAGGGGTCCTGACTAGCCCCAGGTGGAAGGGCCTGGCTAGCCCCAGGTGGAAGGGCCTGGCTAGCCCCAGGTGGAAGGGCCTGGCTAGCCCCAGGTGGAGGGGTCCAGGGTGGCCCACATCGCTTGGGCCTCTGTTTCTTTTGGGACATTGCAGGGGAAGGCAGGCTCCCTGGTCTCACAGCCCTGCCAGCTCTCGGTCCCATCCTGGGGAGCTGTGGGGGCTGGGGCACAGAGAACTCACCCCAGCCATGAGGCCCCCGGCCTCCCTCACAGTGGCTACGGCGGTCAGCACGGCGCCCAGGGTCAGGAGCCCAGCCAGGCTGATGCCCACGTAGAAGGCTAGGTAGGGAGAGTGAGGAGGAGGGTTAGGGGTGCCCAGGACAGGGGTCCCAAATGCACAGAGCCTGGGACTGAAACGCAACTGGAGGGTCACCAAGGGTGGGGGCTGGACTTCTGGGAGCTCTGAATGGGCCACATTTCCCCCAACAGGCAGGGATGTGGCACTCACCACCCACCCCCTCCTCCCGATGTTCAGAAGGACGAGAGGGAAGGAAGAAGCCTGGGAGGCCCTGTCCCCCTCTTCCTGCCCTCCCTGCCCTCCTCCTGGTGCTATCTTTGAAGCCACATCCCCACCCCCATGCCCTAGTGACAGGTGGCCATGGGGGGGCCTGTAATCTTATCAGTCCAGGCCCAGGCCCCAGGCTTCCTGCTCCAGGGAAGCAGGGATCCAGGGTTCAGGGTGAAAACGTGAGGCCTAAGGGTTGGGATGCCTGGGGCCTGGGACCCAGGCCTTGACGCTGTGGGCCTCACTTTCCCCCACATCTGACCTCCTTGGCCTCCTTGCTTGAGGCCAAGCCCCCATCCCGGCTGGGCCCCTCTCTCTGGGAGCACCCCTCCAGGACGTGGACCCGGTCGGGTTCGGATGCTATCCGACACGCCCGTGCTATCCCCAGGCTCCCAGGGTGGGTGGAGGTCCAGGCAAGAGCACGGCCATCTCCCAGACCCCAGGCTCTGCCTAGTGGAGCTGGGATCCCCCAGGGGACGCCTCTGCTCCTGACCCTGTCGCCTGCCCCGACCCCGCTCCTCCCCAGCCACATTTGCCCCTGAAGCCCCCTCCCCGACAGCGGCCACCTGGGACCTCACTCACCCCAGCGGTGCCTGGCCTCATAGGAGGTCCTCTCTGATGATGCGCGGCCGATGACCACAAAGTGGGCCCCGAAGTAGGTGAGAGCCGCCATGGTGGCCACGGCAAGGCCCAGCAGCTGGGGGTGGGGCAGACAGAGCATGGTGGGCAGGGCCAGACCCAGACCGAGGCCCCAGAGGGCAGGGTCTCGGGGTCCTGGGTCTCCCTGACCAGCCTCCCTCCAGCTTCCTGGTCTCACATGAGACAGGCTGTGGGGCTTCCGGATGTGTCTGTGGGGTGCTCTCAGAGGGCAACGCACACACACTCCCCCACCCACACACACTCATTGTCCAGCTTATCCAAGGACCCGGAACCTCGGATCTTTCCGTCTGCAGAGTGGGGAGTGGGCCCATCCCAGCCCCTCGAAGGTCCCTCCCCACTCCTGTGAGGGCACCCTCCAGGGCAGGAAGCCAGCGCCACCCCCACCCCGGGCATCACTCCCTCCGAGCCCGGTTCTCCAGCCGCCCAAGGTCCTCAGGCCTCCTCCAGGCCCCTCGCTGCCTGGTGGGAGGATGGACACTGCCCACAGGAGCATCCTGTCCAAACGGTCAGCCCGCCGGGAGTCCACCCCCAGGGACCCCAGGGGCATGTTCCCTGGGGCAGGATGGGGACAGGGCTGGGGGATGTGTGTGTGTGGAGGGGGAAACCACAGAGCTGGGGGTCCAGTCACACAGCACCTCCCCCACTCCCTCCTGCCCCACCTGCCTGTTACCAGGACAAAGAGGCTGGTGACCAGCATCTGGCATTTGGCCACGCTGACTCGACTCCACGGCCCCATGGTGGTCTCCTCTCTTCTCTTCTCCCCTCCTCTCTTCTCTCCCCTCCCTTCCCTCCCCTCCCGCTGTGGTTTCCAGCTGGGCGGGGGCCTCAGACCACAGCTGCACGCCCAGGAGGTAGGCTGCGTCCGCCCATCTGTCTGTCAACACGCCCAGAGGACTGAGCTGCTGGGTGCCCTGGAAGAAGGGCGGGCAGGAAGGGGAGGAGACATCAAGGCCAGCTCCTGCCACCCCTGCTCCCCCAGCCCTGGCCCAAGACTCCAGGACATTTGCAGACATCTGAGGGGTCTCCTGCAAGGGCTAGACCCTGTTCTTGGTGTGGCCTCAGTGGACACCCTGGGAGGAGGTAGGAGGAGGTGAGTGAGTAGGAGAGGATGCATTGGTAGGGGGTGAGCTCCCTGTCTCAGGAGTGTGCAAGCAGAGGCTAGACCTCTCGTGAGTCCTGCCTGAGGCCGTAATCCTTGGAGGAATTGGGAGACAGGGTCTAATCAGAACATCACTATTGAAGCATTGTTTTATGAAACGCCATTTGAAATGTCCCGTGATAACAACATTTTGAAAAGGTAATTCGATTTTTGATGCCTCAGTGGCACAAATGAGTAGTTTGGAGCAAAGCCGTCTCGAGGGTACAGGGCAGGGCTGGGGCCCTCACTCATACCCACGTTGGGCCTCCAAGGAAGGCTTTTTCAAAACTGGAATCTGTAATTAAACTAAATGTGGTAAATCCGAGGATGGGGCTGGGCCGCAACTCAAACACACATGGGCGTCCTGTCTAAGTGGCCGCTGGGGCCAGTGTGGGCCTGGAGGGGACAGGTGGTGAGACCACTGTTTGGGTCCAGTCTGGGCCAGTTTGAATGGCGGGGACCGCTGCTGTGGTCCTCCGGGGTGGCGGGGCTGACCGGGCCAGGACCACCTGAGCACGGCTCAGTCTCCTGCTAGAACTGCTCCCCTCTGACGTCTTGTAATGTGGGGTCTTCCTGGACACTCGGGGACCTCAGCAGGGGAGGAGGTGTGCCCCAGACAGCTTTGAGCATGGTGACCTCTTAGCCTTCTAGAAACCAGCAGAATGGGGTTCTATGGCTGGCCAGCAGCTCCAGCCACCTCCTCCCTCCCTCTGACAAGAGTTGGGGGCAGCCAGGACCCCTCGTCCATCCCAGCCCCCCCAGGCGGCCCCCCTGACCTCCAGGAATCCCTGTCCTGGGTCTCCAGGGGCACAAGGGGTTTCCCGATGCCACGGGCCTGTGGTGTTGCTCCAGGTGGAGCCCAGGTGTGGCCCAGGCTGGGGCCCATGTGTCACTCGAGGGGGCAGCAAGACGGAAAGTATGTGTGCCAGAGTGTGGGCCACTGGGCTGGCCATCTCGACCTTCTCTGTACCAAGATGAGCCGCTCGCCACCGTGTCTGCCTCACTTCGGGAATGTCTTTCTCCAACTTTGGTGAGAAAAGCGGCCCCTGGCGACCTCTCGGGGATCGGGGGGGTGACACTGCATGTCGCTGCTCCCCAGGTGCCTCTGCGTCAAGTTTGGAGTGAAACTTTCAGAGCAGGGGCCAGGCGTGGGTTCTTGACCTACTGAGTGCCGAGCACTCTGCACAGATGACCTCGCTGTGTCTTTCTAAAGCACTACCAAACCCCTTGGAGGGCAGGTAATGAGGCTCCTTCAGCGACAGGCCACGTGGGGACTGACCCTAGGCCAGCCCTTCTAAAGATGGGGCCTCTGACCACGGGCCCCTTTCCCCGTGCCCACTGGCTGGGGCAGGGAGCCTGGCATTCACATTTGCCCCATGAACCCACCACCCCGTTGGCTGAGCCACACCCCCTGGGCTCCAACACCCCCTGTGCAAGAGGAACCAGCATCTGGAGGGGAAGCCGCTGCCCTGCCCAGCTGCCCAGCTCCCCAGCCCTCGCCTGCTCACCCATCTCCTCTGGGCACCTGAGGTGGCCTCCACTCCCGAGGGCAGCCCGTGGGAGCCAGGAGGGTGCCCTGAAGCAGCAGCTTCAGTCCCCAGGGGCTGGTCCAGGGGTACAGAGTCCCCTGCCCCACAGACCCTGTCCTGAGGTTCAGGCCCCACGGGAGCCAGCCTCGCCCGCCTCTGGTCTTCATTTCCATGGGAGATGCTGGGCTTCTAAGTGTGTGCTCATGCTCATGCGTGTAATATATTTGCCAGCCAGCCACCTCCTTTTTCCTCCATCTTCCTCTCCCACATCTAATAATTACTTGGCTAATTGAAAACTGTTTTGTCACAGGAACCAACTGAAAGAGCTCCCAGTGGCCAAAGTGGGAAGAACTTGAGTAACAAAATCGATAATGTCATCTTGGCCGATGACACACAGTATTCGAAAAATATCCGTGCATCCATGCTGGGCTAGGTAAAAGAGTGAATAAGCAAAGGAACGGTGGAGAAGAGACAGTCGCCTGCACACAAGAATTCCAAATATGCGTGGGTACGCCCTCCTCAGGGAGGGAGACTCAGCTCCCACCCCCTGGCGGTGGCTGCGCACAGCGACCTTCTTCCCTGCGGCAGGGCGCAGGATGGAAGGGGGATCCTGACACACACCCCGGCCAGGCGGTCAAGGTCAGCCTTACAGGGTACGTCATGTCGAGAGCGTGTGTCCTGATGTGACGGAGGAGAAGGAGAAGGAGACCCCCACTGCGGTCTTCCTCCCCAGACCCACAGCCCAGTGTACTCGTGGCAGAAACATCAGACAAATCCCAAGAGAGGGGCATCTTACAAAACACCTGATGGTTCTCAAAACTGGCAAGGTCGCCAGAAACGAGGGAAGCCTGAGAGACTCTCACGGCCCAGAGGAGTCTAAGGAGACAAGAAGACTGAACGTCACGTGGTGTCCTGGATGGGATCCTGGGACAGAAAAAGGACATTGGGTAAAGGCTAAAGAAACCTGAATAAAGCACGGACTTGAAGTGACAATAATGGATCAATATCAATTGACGGGTTGAGACAAGTGCCCCACACCCACGTCAGATGACGATAATAGGGGGAGCTGGTTGTGGGGCACATGTGAATTCTCTGTACCATCTTTGCAACTTTTCTATGAATCTAAAACTGTTCTAAAATAAATGTTACCTGGTTTTGTCCACCACTCCAGGCTCACGGCACAGAAGGGAGCAGTGTCCTGGAGCTGGCTCTGCCCGTCCATTCACTGGGTCGTGAGCACTTGGCCCGTGCTAGCCGGTCCCCACTCCATTAACTGCTCGTCCACCCGGATGTCCGCTATTCGGGGATGTCACCTGACCGCTTGCTCATCCAGCCATCCGCCCTCCACTCACTTGCCTCCACACAGCTGTTCATTCATTCAGCTCTTCACTTGCTCCTGTCTGCTGCCTCAGTTTACCTGGGCAGCTGCCTCTGGGAATCCAAGCTGGGGGAGGTGGCACTGAGGCAGGCCCTTCCTTCTTTCTGTGAGGCTACTTCCCCTGGGCCAGGAGGTGACAGCCTCCACCCTTAGTCCAGGGGGAGGCCTGAGAGAGGTCCCCCTTCTCCCCCATCGGAGATCAGCTGGGCCCTGAGGCCTGGAGCCAGAGGCCTGGAGCCAGAGGCCCCTGTACCTGAGCCTGCACTGGGCCCCTGCATGCCTAGTGGGGTGGTGACACGACCCTCCCCACCCAGGGGCACCAGCAGGTTGTCCCCTTGGTGGACCAGGGACTCCCATCTGCTCACTGCCTTCCTGCAGCCCTGTGGGGGTGCTGAGAGAGGGGAGACCTGTCAGGGCCACGCGGGGACTTGAATTCGGCCTCTGGCCTTCCCTCTGCCCTTTGCCTTGATTCTGAAGTTGTCCCCAGCAGCCCGGACAAGTCACAACCCAACCTGGGGCAGCTTCTCCTGAGCCTTCTCCTGGGAGGGGTGGGGACATTCTCCTTCCTGGTCGCCTAATGCCTGGGTCAGCTGTGTGTGCCTTGACAGGCCTCCGGATGGATCCCCACAGCCTGGGGAGCCCCAATTCCCCCAGAAACATCCACCCGGGCTTGCAGGGTGCACCGGGGCCTGTCCTCTGAGCACCTGAGCCAGACCCAGGAAGATTCTGGGGCAGAGCTTGTCAGGGCCCCTTCCCCATAGCAGGCCATGAACTGCTTCCTTCCTCTCCCTGGCCCCCAGGGGCATGGATCCCATGCCCTGCCCCTCCTCCTGGAGCCGGGCCCCACCCCCCATGGTGGGGGTGGGGGTGAAGTGGGGGCTGGGGAGGACTGTGCCCCTGCTCCATCCCTGTGTGTTGCCCCATTAGCATGGGGGGTTCAGGGGCCATGGAGCCCCTGCCCTGCCCAGACTGACTCACTGCTTCTCCGGCCATGCTGAGGCTGCGTCCCACACACAGCAACTAGCAGGATGTGCAACTATGACATGCAACTATCTACTGGAGCTTTGGGGAGAAAAAGGGAAAAAACAAAAAAAAAAAAAAAAAGGAAGGGGATTGGCAATAGATGTTAGTTCAGAGCTGGTCTTACTCAGCAAAAAGAGGAGGATTAGCATAGATGTTAGCTCAGGGCTGATCTTCCTCACAAAAAAATAAATTAATTAATTAAAAATAATAAAAAATGGATTTTACTTTTTAAGCAGTTTTAGGTTTACAGATAAATTGAACAGAGTTCAGAGAGTTCCCATATGCCCCTCTCCCCACACACCATGTCCTCTATTATTAACATCTTGCGCTAGTGTGGTACATTGTTACAATCAATGAGCCAGTATTGATACATTATTGTTAACTAAAGTCCATAGTTGATATCAGGGTTCACTCTTGGTGTTGTATATTCTGTGGGTTTGGATACGTGTCATGACATGTATACACCGTTACAGTATCATACAGAGTAGTTTTACTGCCCTAAAAGTCGTCTGTGCTCCTCTTCAACCCTCCCTCCCCCTGAGCCCCTGGGAACCACTGATCTTTACTGTCTATATCGTTTTGCCTTTTCCAGAATGTCACGTAATTGGAATCATACACCACGTAGCCTGTTCAGACTGGCTTCTTTCACTTAGCAATAAACATTTAAGTTTCCTCCACTTCTTCTCAGGGCTTGACAGCTCGTTTCTCTTTATCGTGGAATAATACTTTGTTGTCTGGATGGACCACAGTTTGCTTACCCATCTACCTATTGAAAGGCATCTTGGGCGCCTCCACATTTTGGCAATTATGAATAAAGCTGCTAGAAACCTGCCGGTGCAGGTTTTTGTGTGAACAAAGGTTTTCAACTCTTTTGGGTAAGTACCAAGGACCGTGACTGCTGGATTGTATGGTGATTTTGTTTGTTTAGTTTTGTAAGGAACCGCCAAACTGTCTTCCACAGCATCTGCACCGTTTTGCATTCCCGCCAGCAAGGATGAGCGTTCCTGTGGCTCCACGTCCTCGCAGCATCTGGTGGCGTCAGTGTTCTGGGACTTGGACACTCTGATGGCTGTGTGCTGGTGCCTCACTGTTGTTTTAATTTGCACTTCCTTGATGACACAGGATGTGGAGCACCTGTTCCCGCGCATATTTGCTGTCT